GTGGGGAAAGCCTGGGGGAAATACCCACCCCCCCCCCCTCTTGTGGGGGGGGGGGGTGGGGGGGGGGGGGCAGGTTGTGGAGTGGGGGCTGTAGAACGACTGTGGGCAGGTTCACAGGTGTCATTACTGTCAGTGTTGTTTGAATCCCCGTCCCTCACCATGAATCTTTAAGGTCCCATCTCCAGGCCCACAGACCGATGGAGGGGTGTAAATTATGGATCAGAAAAGCCCCAGGTCTGAGCACGTGGGGGCATCTGAGTCCCAACATTACATTCTGTGATTTTCTTCTAAATCATTAATATCCTGCACAAACTTTCCCTGTGAGTTCACACATCTGCCCCCCCCGCCCCCCCACAGAGCAGAGAATAAAAGAATTAAAACAGGTGGACTCACAATTCTAATTAATTTCCTTGATAAATAATTTATTAGTACTGAAAAATAAAACTGGATCAGATTGGATTCGTTTTGACCTTTGACCCCCCCGAAAATGTTTCAGAATTTCAGTGTTGAAGGAAATTAATTTTCAAAAAAAGGAGGCAGAGTATGTGGTGTTTTAATAACCACTCAGTGAGTTAACCGAGTTAACCGAGTTAACCGAGTTAACGGCTGTGTGGAAGAACAGCCAGTGTTTCAGGGAGTGAGGCTCCGCCCACTTTCAGGAACAGACACTGTTTCAGTTAATACACCTGTCCTTCAGTATAATAGTAGTGTGTGTGTGTACATGCACTCACTCAGGCTAATGCTAATGGCATTATTGCTAATGGCAGATCCAGGTGTAGTGAGTTAAAACTGAAATGAAAATGTGTTTACCTGCAGCTTATAAATGTATACATAAATATATATATACAATATATACACATCAATATAAATAAATAAATATATATATATGACGTTAGGGTTATATATATATATATAACTCTAACTCTAGCCCTAACTCTAACTCTAACTCTAACTCTAGCCCTAACTCTAACTCTAACCCTAACTCTAACTCTAACTCTAACTCTAGCCCTAACTCTAACTCTAACCCTAACTCTAACTCTAACTCTAACTCTAGCCCTAACTCTAACTCTAACCCTAACTCTAACTCTAACTCTAACTCTAGCCCTAACTCTAACTCTAACCCTAACTCTAACTCTAAGTCTAAGTCTAAGTCTAACTCTAACTCTAACTCTAAGTCTAAGTCTAACTCCTCTGTGTCGTTGACAGTTAACCCACATCTGTCAGGTCAGAGATTTCTGAGTGGAATCAGCCTGAATCACTAAACACACACACACTCCCCAGAGTAAACACCTTCATGTATGAATGCACAAATGCGGTGACATGCCAATCCCACAGATAGGAGGTGCACATGAGTAGAAAACAGCCGAGAGGCAAATGAAGGAAAGCAGGACAGAGAATCAGAGCAGGATGTTTGAATTATTTAAAGTTCTTCACAGAGATCAGAGTGGAGTCAGCTGTGGAGGAGACAGAACCAATGACCTCTGTAGTACAGTACAGTACAGTACAGTACTGCAGTACCAGCAGTACCAGCAGTACCAGCCCCTCCACACCAACATGACTGACATGATGAAGACAAACCTCAGTCCCACATGGACACATCGGAGTACAACCAAAGTATTTCAACTACAAATGAAGTACCAGATCCTGACAAATACTGACATGAATACTTCAAGTTTCCATTCACTACGAACCAGCATCACTCAACATGAGAGTAATAAATATGAATGAAGCTCCGCCCACTGTCTCCTCACTGTCTGACCAACCACATCCCATAATACTGTGTTGCTATGTGATGGTAAGAAAAGCCTACATATGTATATATACATACATACTGCTCAGTACTGCTCAGTCCTCCACTGACACCACAGACCACAGTCTGTCTGTGTCCAGAAATCCAACGTCCTCTGATAAAAGTCTGATTTATTTTAGTCAGAGAAAAGTCAACAACCTTGAGTTAGTTTATCATTCCACCTTAAATAATCCAGGACCAGAATATGTGTGTGAGAGAGAGTGTTCACACACACACACACACACACACCTTCACTCATTATAGTGTGACATCTACATGCGACATTTACCTTTGACCTCTGCTCCACTGAAGGTACAATTACTGAAAGGCCAGAGTCTGGAGACTGTCCATCACACACACACACACACAC